GGCACAGCTCCTCAAGTTTCTGGGTTTATCTTCTTCTGCCTATCCAGCCAAGGACCCTGCATTTCCTAGAGCAATACGTTGAAAGCTATTACATACAGGTTCATTTTTAAAATATGAGCTGAGCAAAGTCATCTCTGTGTGCTATCTTCCTGTTGCTCAGACCATGTGATAGTGTCTTGCGTGAGAGCTGCAGTCCCTGTGATTGAAATTCAACACAAAAGTCCTCCTCTGACATTTGGCTGTGCTAGAAATATGCTGAGACATGATGTGGCTTTGCCTCAATATCTCTGCTGCCTACCATGGGCCTGAAGATGATTTTGCTGGTGTGAGAATGGAAGAAGAGGACAAAGACTGGATGAAAGTGGACCCTTTCATCCCCACTTCAAACAAAAGGTGTGCTGAAAGAAGGAACTTGGGAAATAACTCATGCTTGAGCTTGAGAAACATCACACTCCTTGCTGCACTAGTCATGTGAATCTCCCATAGAAGAAAATACCTTAGGAAAGTGTGTGATTCTATAAGCAGAGCAGCAAAAAGGCATCATGCTCTTCCCAAGTGATCCTCTGCTCTGTGGAGATTATCAGACTTATCTAACAATAATACATCTCCCCTCACACCCTGTAGTGGAACTCCCCATATCAACCATGTGTGCTGCATTTTCCCCCATGTTTTTGTCATCCAAAACCCCACCATTATTAGTGGAAAGGAAGACAGAAGTGAAAGGTTCTTTAAATTTAGGAGGTACCAACAGCTTTCACACAGTTACTGGACTGGATATTCCAGTTGCCCTATGCAGGGAAAGATCAGAACAGTGAAACCAGTGGCACAGCACTTTTCTGCAGACACTGAGGAATTGCTTTACAGATTTAAGTGAAGGGTGGGGAAATGGTGCAAGCCTTTCTCTTTCAAGCAACCTATTTGGTGCCGGTAATTTAAATGATAGGCTTTGGGTGCAAACTCCAAGTGCCTGAAAGCCTCACTCAGCATGAAACAGTCCTTTAATCTTGGGACAAAGATGATCCTTTGGTTGCCTCCAGCCATTAATCAGAAGTTTGGAAATTTTGCTTCTTACACATCTTAATCCCAAGAGCAAAATTAACTTACACCTCTTTCTCACAGAGATAAAACAGCAGAAAATGTAAAAAGCGAGTGATGCTGTGCTAGGGGAATAAGGCAAAGGAAATGTTAAAAACTGATAGCTTATTCCCAAAGAAACAGTATGAGCTCAGCCAAGCAGAAAAATGTGCAAATACTACTCTTAATTCACTCTAGACAATTTGTCGTTTATAATATTTTCTTTAGAGTTTGTGAAATCACAAACTCAGTGGGTAAACTGCTGCTATTTCTCTTGTTTAGTTGCTTGCCTGGGGAGGAGAATGGAAACATGGGCAGGGGGTTGTAGAGAGCTGATTAAAAATTATCTGGAACCCTAAAAGTTAACACTGAGGAACTTGTGGTAGCAGTTTCCTCTCATTTGTGTATTTAATTCCTTTTAAACCTCATATATATAATAGGTAAATCTCAGAATTCCGTCTAATTTTTTCCATAATGCTGTTTTAATATTAATTCATTTATGATAAATTCAGTATAGAGAAATCTGTACACACATGTTTGTGTAGGAGTTCAGAGGGCAATTTACTAAAATGATGAAGTGACATAGACTGTTTAAGTGTTATTTACTTTCAGGGGAGCTATATTTTAAGCTATTTTTTTCCAAGGAAATTGATGGATAAAGGGTTTTTTTTGGGAGGTAATGAAAGCTGTGCACATCAGAGCTAACAAATACATGGCCAAAAATTTAGGAATAAGTTACCTTAATATGTGGCTTTGTAAAACACCAACAAAAGATGTAGTTCAACAGATAGTATAGCGTCTTGTGAATTTGACAAATAGCTGTGATGCTGTCATGGGGTGGCTTTACCTTTAAAGTGGTTTTAGGAGCTAAGGAAGTTGAAACTGCTGGTGGCTGATGGGAGTCTTCCCTCCTGACCAATTATCAGTCATTTCAAAGAAATGACAGCAGTTTTGACCATTAAAAAGTGGAGTCAACTTGTGAACACTGCCTTAAGATGTACAGTCAAAGCTTTCTTGTTCTCTTTGTGTTTCCGGCCTCTGACAAGGTAACAAGGCTCTGTCTCGGCCCCCTCCCTGCCTCCAGGCCGGAAAAGGCCGCAGAGGGCAGGGGGGGAGAAACAGAGCCAGCCAGCTTGGTTTAGTTTGTAGTTTCTGCTGCTGGACTGAAACCTGACACCATGAACTCTTGCAGCTTTTCTAAGACTTCAATTCTTTTACTACCTGGATAAAACGTACAGATTACTCCTTTTTCCCAGAAAGACAGAGAGAGAGACAATCAATGTGAAGAAGACATCATAAAACCACCAAAAGAGATGCGTTATAAGCTGAAATATCTTTATGTTAAAGCTATGGAGATGGACAATAGTAGCTTGAAAAGACTCCTTTAATTCATGACAAAGTATATTGGGAGGAATGGAGTGTTCAAAGTGTGGATTTTTGAGCAAAGAGAGAGTAATTGTGATACAGTGAGTTGCTGGAACAGAGTGAAGCGAAGATTTGAGACTCATGGCCCATACACACCTCAAAGTGATGTGATATGGGAGGAGTGAATTGATGGCAGATTTCCGGGCAGCTGGCATCAGAGAAATAGAAAATTATAACAAAAATAGTTTTCTTGTGAGAAACTCCATAGATTAGCAGAGGAAAACTTCTGTTTCTCTGCAAAGACTGATGAAAAGACTTTAGCAAGAATTGGGATTGTTTTAAACACCAGGTTTAAAGGTTCTAAGGTTTTTCTGTCTCTATGTTGTCACATGTACAAAAGAATGGTCAGGTAGTGGGGGATAAAAGAGTATTCTGAAAGTATATTCTGGTGTTTTTATTCTTGTAGTTTTGTTAATAAACTTCCTTTATTCCTTTTAAGTTTTAAGCCTGTTTTGCTCTTGTTCTAATCCATAACTCACAGCAAGAAATAAGTAATTTTTTTTAGTTACTGCTTTAAAACCACAACAGATGCAAATAAACAGAAAAATGAGGCAGTCAGTAAACAAATTATCTAGTGAGAAGTTTTCATTTCAGTGTATTTAGGATGAAATATTTTGGTTTCTTAATTTGAATCTTTTAAGTGAAAGATCTTTTTAAGTCATTACCTGAAAGGAAATGTCTTGGTTTTATTTCTTAGCCTCAAGAAAAATGAAAGGTTTGTTATTGCTTTTTTTTCCCCCCTCCCCACTTATTTGGCATAATAAAACCCTGTCATTCACACTTATTCCATTAATTTTGCTATGATTTTATTTTTTAAATCCCTTCTCTTTTTCCCAATATTTGTACATCCAATGCTGAAACTATAATCACTGCAGCAACAGTTATTCCAAGTAGTTATGTGAGTCTGTTTCCTCATGAAAAATGACCCCTCAGGCATGTAAAAGTTAACTGTGGGCCCTTAAATTTCATTATGTACTTCTTGTCATACTGTCAATTTGAAGGTAAAATTAACAACAGAAATAGATCGCCTAAATCCTAACTACAATACCAAATTCTTTTCCATAAGCAAAACACTTGATCACCCCTCTGAGTCTTAATCTAGTTGATATAAAGTATGGCCCCATGAACTAATAAGCTGAGACTGTTTTTTTAAATTATTGCTTCACTGCACTTGAAGATGAGAGTTTGACTCCTAAATCATCTAGGTATCTTGGCAAAATTGTCTAATTATTGGAAAACAATCCAACATATTTTTGTGTATAATTTTTAATGGAAGAAAAACCCCCACCAAAAACATTCTACAGCTCCAAATCATATTTTTAATGGTATTAGTTCAATGAAAGCTCTGATGTTCTGTTTATTTCAGTGTTTTCAGTCTTCCACTGAGATAATAGAAGTCAAAAAAGTATCATCTTTTAGGGACTTCCCAAAGATTAATTGGTAAAAAATTTTAGGATCTTTTTCAAAATATTCTTCTGTCTTATTTCCTGTGTATTCCTAATATATTCCAGTTGCCACAGAGATCAACATGAGTTGAGCACCTCTTGCCCATACCTACTCAATGCAAGGTTTCAGCCTTAGTTTAGATTGAGTTGTTCCTTTCCTTTATGTCTGGGTCTGGAAGAAATCCATTCATGGACTTCAGCAGAAGCCAAATGGCTGTGCAAGGACAGGCATCTGCCAGAAGAGCACTTTGTCACACAGGGCTTTTAGTTGCTTGATTGCTTCAAGCTACCTGCATGATTTGCTCAAGGCTTTCTGGGTTTTATTAAAAGAAAAATCTAGGCCTTTGTCACTGATCTGTGATTCTTTGCATGTGTTACCTAATGTCTTACTAATAAATGGAAAAAAATTCTTTCTTGGGGAAGCTTTTTATCCATCTGTTATCCAAGGATAATGGTTTTATCCATTAGAGGCCAGGACATAATCTAAGATGCATTTTAGAACAAAGGGCAAAAGAATCTCATCTAAAATACCACTTTAAGCTTTATGACAGACACAATCCTCCGTCACTTTTGACCTGTTCATCTACCCACTGGAAGTGGCTCAATGTAATATTAAACCCTAATATTCACAGTCTGTCTCAGGGACTAATATAATAAGAAATCGACAGGAAGAGGTCCTGTAGACTTTATCTTGTCCACTACATTGCTGAAGTACAGGATCGGCTCTGTTCACATCACTCCTGACCACTTTTCCTCTAATGTGTTCTGCAATGGGAAATAATCCACAAGAGATGCACACAGACCATCCCAATGCTTCTTCTGTTATGAGTGCAGTGCATTCCTTCATTTCCTGGCCACATGAATGTGAAAACAAGTCTCTTTTTTCTTCCTGGAAAATAATTATATGAGAATAAAATTAATAAAATTCCTTTCATGTCCCCCACTTTAGACTGAACAATCCCAATTACAGAAGTCAAAAAGCTCTCTAAATCTCTTCTAATTCTTGAAACTCACTGCACTTCTTGCCTTAGCCCACATCTGCCTTGCAATACAGTACCTGGAAGTAGAAAAAGTTTACAGCAGAGGCTTTATCAAGGCTGTCAAGACCAGAAGGATGTACTGATGCATCTTGAAATCTGTGCTCCTATTGATATATCACATTGTTAACTTTGTCTCTCTGAAAGATATTTTCAGTTACATTTAGATTGTGATCTAGTACAAATCCTATACTAGTTCATATGTAGTTTTTTAGGTCTTATGAAGAATGTTGATCATATTTATCAAAGCAATTCTGATTCCTTACTCATTCCTGAAAGTCTTTCTCTGCAATAAGAGTCACACACAGGGTCTCATAGCAGGATACAATTTTTAATGTCCCTTGACAAGTGCAATTACAGCATGGGGAGTCCATGCAGTCATGTTAAGCCTTCACAACACCTGTGCTCTTGCTGCTCTAACTGCTCCTTTGATGGGTGTATTGTGAGGAGCTCAGCTTGATGGCACATCACTCTCTGCTTTCAAACATGTTTTCAAAGGGGCTGTTTCTGCTGTGCCATCCTGGAAGAGACACTCTTCAGAGCTGTTGCAAAGGCTTCTTGTAAGTGTGGTCACTGTGAGAAAAGCCACGCTGTTGCCTGATGTTAGTTGCGTTGAAAGGGAATGCTGGATGAGCAAGGCTGCTGCTGAGCTTGTCTCCATTCTCTCCATCTTTGATCTGACTAAGAAGCATCATCTAAACCTCACTGGTAATCTGGAAAATAGTGAAGATGCAGTTCATCCTGCTTCAGAGAGCAATAAACAAGAAATGGCAGAGTCTGCCTGTGCTGCACTTCATATCAGCTAGAACAGTGATGATGTAGGTTCAGGGAAGCAGCTGCAGCATAGAAAACATATTAGCTTCCCCATTGCTTTTCTTTCCGTTTCATCTCCGCTTCACAGAGGTGAAAAGTGGCTCCTGGTAATACCAGGGAGAGAAAAACGAAATAAATTCACATAAATACAGATTTGGGGTTGGACACAGTTTAAAAAACTACAATTCTGGACTTGTCTTAGGACAAAATAAGAGATAAGGATCGTATTCCCAGATAGTCAAAAAGTTGAGAAAAATGTAAAGTTCAGTTAGAAAGTCAATGTTTCATTTCTAAACATTTTACAACTTTGAAGTTAAAATAAAAGTCAATTTTAGGGAGAAGTGCACGGAACTGAACCATTTTAAGCTTTTAGAGACCAAGGAGAATTCCTCTCAAATTAAATCATTTGTTGAAAATGAGACACATTGCAAACAATGTTAGTATCTTCAAATTGTCCTTCATCACCCTCATCCAAATTGCCCATCATAAAACTTCACTCACATCTTACAAAGAAGATAGCAAGTATAAGGACTTAAACACAATAAAAAGCAAAAATCTTTAGCAAATGGAAAGAAGAGTGGTGTTTCAACTTTTACTCCCCAAATAAGGAAGGATGTAGGGTCCTTTGGGAAAATGACTAATGTAGAAGGAGCAAAAGACTCTCTTTCCTGGAATAACAAAAATGCACATATATTTTAATCTCTCTTCTGGCTTTCATAATGCAACTACATGCTTTTGACTCTGTGGTGCTGTCAGCAAAAATTAATTTTAAAAGTAGTACACATGAGTGACTTCAGCCTTTGCCTTAATTTAGTTTCTCACTAAGAGCCGAGATAAGACACAGCCGCACAGAAGCAGGATGGACGGCTGTACACTATATTGTAGGAGACGATAGTGCTAAATTAATCATGTTCTATCTGGAATTTGCAATTCTTTCAGAGATGCTCAAGACAATATAAAAAATTTAGTGGTAACAGTGAAAGTAGGCAGGAGGTTGTGAGGCAGAAAGCTTCAGAGGGCACTTTAAATGTGAAAGATGCATTACAGTTTCTCACACATGAACAAGATAGCATGCCTTACTAAAAATATAATAAATACGGAGTGTATTCTGCCAGATGCAGCTGTGAAGGGAGCGCTCTCCCAGTCAGATGTACCAAGTGTGATTGACACCCCCTTAGCTTTGCTGTGATATGACTAAATATGAAAACGAACAGTCTCGGAATGATGTTTGCATTAGGAACAACATACCATTCTGTTCCTCTCAGAAGCCCAGCAAATATATCAGAAGTTTTGGTACACATACTAGAGGAGTCAGTCTGTTCCTCAGTCAGGATTTCACTTCCATTTGCTTTCCTGCTTCTCCCCTGCTTTTCTTCTTTTCTTTTTCATTGCATTGTCTCAACCCTTTCTCCTGCTACAAACATCAGGGGAATGAAGGGAGACGTAAATTACTCCATTAGTAGCTCACTGCTGATCTTCTGCTGTAATTTGAATAAATCAGTGCATGCCTGGCTGCAGCAGCAACAGGAGGAGACAGACGCGCAGGTTCCCCCCTCCATCCTTGTGAGGCTTTTCAACTCAAACACAAGCCTGCACAGCTCACAGCTGTAACAAGAGCCCTTACCTTGCAGAAACTAAAATGTAAAAGAAAAACTCCCCTTTAAGTTTGGAAATAAATAACTAGTGAATTTTCTTTTCCTTGCAAACCTATCCACTGCAGTCAGTGGATTACAATCAGGTGTTGAAAGCTGCTGTGGGAGTTTCCACAGCAATCAAAAGTTCTACTGAAAGATTATGACTGACTTGATCAAGATTAGTGAACAAAGTTGTCCCCTTCCTATCTGAATGTACTAATGATGCTTTTGCCGTCACCAGGGCCTCTGGTGAGGGTCTGTATAAGCTTCTGATTGCAAGGAAGGACCTTTCTTTCTCTTTCGCATTAAGGGTTCAGAGACCTGGGAGAAACAACAACCTTTCACAGGGAAACCCTGCACATAACTTTTAATCTTGACTCTAAAGTGGACTGTGGTTATATAGGTGAATCTAAGAACTGTGGTAAAAGCAGCCAAAAATATATGTCAGGAAAGCTTCTAGAGATTTTTAATTTAACATAGAGGATGAGTATACAGTTAATGCAAAGGAGCACTGAGAGACAGTGACAGTGATGGTGTGAGTGAGACACACCATGCAGTATAAGGAAGCAATTTCTGAAATCATTCCCTCATGATTTTGGTTATTCCTGAATGTCCAGCAGTATCTTCCTATTTCTGCTTGTAAGACCTTCTTCTGCAATTGAATTCTCCTGAGAGATCACAACAAAAATTACACCTTACACTTCAGCTAGAGGTCTGGGAAACAAGCAGTGCCTGAAAGGATTCCTATGGATCTCAAAATATCATCAACAAGCATCTGGAGCATACTGGCCAGTTAAAAAGCACCTGTGACACTGCATTGGTGCAATCCACCCAAAAAGTAATACCTCTAGGCTTTGTTTTTCACTGTACTGTTTTTTTCTGGAAGAAAATGTTCCAAAACCAATACTCTTAGAAATGACAGGCTAAAAAAATGCTAATCTTTTCACAGTTATCTCTTTTGGCTCTTTCTCTTTTCACCCACCTGTGCTGCTGCCTGCAAAAAAAACAAAACTACATGAGAGTCCACAGGTGCCCTAAATGTATCTTTAATTCCCAGTAGGCCTGTAAGCAGATCATTTAAAGAGCCGAAAGAGGTGAGCAAATGAAACTTAGGGCAAAAAAGTTGAGTCTGTTCTGAGTTTAGTAAAATACTTCTATGTTAATTACAAGAGAAGACAATATTTTATTGTGTTACTGCTCGTGTCTCAAAAGATTCACTTTTGAGTTACCTGAATCTGGTGACTGTAACTACTTAATACAATGGGTATCAGTAACTGTTTCATTATAATTGACTCATAATTTTTCAAGTTCAATTTATGTATGAAATTTCATTTAAGTAATGGAATTCATTTAATTATAGATTATGTGAGGCATATATGTTATTCTAAAAAAATCTAATAATTTGTAACAAAGATTGATAAGATTCAAAAGATCTCACTGGATACATTTTCATTATAGTGTTCACAAAGTAACTAATAAATCATAAAAATTCTTTAAAACTCTTTCTTTTCTTGGAGTATGCACATCTTTAAGTATTGCAAAGTCAATCTTGTCTAGAAGGTTTTTGCCTCTTCCAAAAGGGACCCATTTCTGTGGAAAATCAAACATATTCTCAGCTTCTGAACTGTTATTTGTGTCTCAATAGCTTTGAAATACTTTGAGTGTTTAAAAATATTAATCTGGGTTGAAGTATATTAGTGTTACTTTACAAGTTCTCATTTTGTAACAGATAAAGTGCATCCCAACCTAGCAAATTCATGATGTAGACCAGATGGTGGTAGTTTGTTGAAGCAAGTTTTATCACCTGTACATTATTTCCTAATTTCATATTATTATTACTAACTATACATATTAAGGGAGGATTGTTCTGGGTTTGGGTTTTTTTGCTCCATAGATAATTCACACTGATGCATGAGCTGATCCCTTTGTTTACCATGAACTGCAGAAGCAATTTTTTAAGCTGGCTTCCTTAGGTCTCTCCTTGTGCAATAAGTGAAGGTGTGACGGCAGCATGAATAAGCAGCTGCTGTTTATTAGAGCTTTCACCTGGTTGGTGTGGACATATTAAAAGGAGGAAGCAAAGCTCTGTGCAAATTGTCTTATAAAATGATGTAAAAGGCTGAGTGAGCTCCAAAGCCAGGCAGCTATAACAGGTTTTTTTCTTGAAAATGCTCCGTTTGAAAGTAACTCTCCAATGTTGCCAATGCTTATAAGGAACAGAGGAAAAGTTATCTTTATCCACTGAGGTGGCTAGAAAGGCAGAAGTATTAGGTCTGACCAAATAGGCAATACTTCAGTTGTTTAGTGTGATAGCCGATTTGTGTGTGTGTATATGAGAGATATTTCATGTTAAAATAATTGTAAAATAAAGTATTATGATGCGGTAGCAAATCTTCTGAAGAGCCATTTTAAAATAAAACATTCTAGCTTGTGAATATTTCAGAATTTCTTTGCAAGTTGCCTGAATTTTTCTTCACATAGGTAAATACAATCTTATAGGTGGTTCTATTTTTTCTAATCAATATTTTGAGGTTCCTTCTATAAGAGTCAGTAGTTGAATCCACTTCTTACCTGAACTATCAAGCAACCCCTAGAGCTCCCTCTATAAATTAAGGCCTTCTTCCCATCATTAGGTTGAGAATATTTTAAATTAAATGCTGCAAAGTATGTACATGTCAGCTGGACTACAAAAATGTATCAGCTGAGCATATATAGCATAAAACAGGGTTTATTGGGGATGAATATTAATACATTTTCAAAAACAGAGAGTAAGCATTTCCATTAGTTGCTCTTAATACAATTTTGCTTACTGAGTGGTATTAGCTCTGTTCTGTGACTAGGACGGAAAATGTTCCAAGTGGGGAAACAAATTCTTAGTGCTCTTTTCTTGTGTGTGAAGAAATGCAAATCCATGACTAGTCAACACAAGTTAAATTCTTTTCAACTCCAGGAGACCATATATTTTTATTTATAAAATATGTTGTTTGGGAAGAGATCGTAGCTTCTCTGGTCTTTCTCTTGCATGAGAGAAACTGTAAGGGTTCATACAGATCCACTACATTTTCTGTCTTCCCACTGAAACACCTTTCTGAGGAAACAGTTTATATAAATGTCCCCCAAAAACTGTATTGAGCAAAAATTATGTTAACTCTTCAGTTTGGCTGTTGCTCCTGTATTATATCAACTTATATTGCAAATTAAACTTTATATGATTTGGAATTATTGTCAAAATATCTTCAGCCAGGGATGAATACATTTTAAGCCTTCAAAACCTGTTCTAGGGCAGAAAAAGGCCCCAAATGCCTTTCTTTCCAATTTCAGTACTGGTGAGATACAGGATTTCTACTACTGCATTGGACTGAATAGCTACTAGGGACACAGTAGATGAGGAAGAAGCCACTCAGTCCGTAAAGACATTGGTCAGTTTTACCCAGAATGGGGAAAGATTTCATCTGGGGTTGGTGTAGCCAAGTCTGAGAGTCTGAAAATTCTGTTTCCTCTGCCTCACAAAGACAATAAACAGAACTTTGAAACTGTATTGGACTGTGTGACATCCTCCCCTCAACAGCTTATATCTCAATTCAGCTAATTAGAAATCAATCTCTAATGGTGCTTGTACAGTAAGAGTGATTTCAATTAAAGACATCTTGTTGCCACTCACCTGCTCTGGCATTTCAAAAATTCCAGATTTTCCATGAGTTACTAAGTGTAACTATCTCTTTGTCTTTGCTGATTACTATCCAGTAAAGATGGGTGATATGCTCAAGAGCATACCTTGTGGAAAATATCCTTGGCTGAATACATGAAAACATAAAGCAATGGAACAGCAAATAAAGAAATAACCCAGAGAGAATCACTAATCTAGCAGTTATACATGCATATTTTCTATATGAAAATATATGATAATGGAAAAGTTAGTTTGGTGACAGTTCTACCTCTTTTACTGGTGCCCAGGACTCTTTCCACCTGTTTATGGCAGATATTATTTGTGCTTGATTTTGGCTTAAAGAGTAAATGTTTTTTATTAAAGTGGAACAGCCATGTTGACCAAGATAGATTCCAGCCAGAGAGCAGAGTTTACTTGAGAAAAGTATTCAACTGAGGCTGTAGAACTGCCCAAAGGATGCCTCACTCTTGTGACAGTGACAGGAAGCCTTCTCCTGTCAGTTTACATTAGCCAATGGCAGTGTAACATTTCTCTTATTGTGAGTGGCAGAGATGATAGAAACTGTACTTTTTAATTTGGAAATATCATACATGCAGACACAAGTCTGGGCAGGAGCTCTGTTCATGGCTGCTTCATTTATGCTGCTACCCCTCATTTCCCATTCTATTTGTGTCTACTCTCTAGTCTTGACCCTGATTTGAGGTATGGGAGAAGGTAAGGTTCTTTGTGATGGCAAGAATAAAAGTTTAAATTAAACTAAGCTTGAAGTTTAAGTTTTCCATTAAAAAAAAAAAAAAATACAATAAAATACCTTGATTTTAGGAGCTTAGGAGAAAAACAAGGACATGAAAAGATACATTTGCAGAGAAAGAGTCTGTCCTTTTTTGTGGTAACCTATTGATTAGGGCATGCATCCAGAGTGTGAGAGATCTGGACACCAGCTCCTTCTCCCATTAATATTTAATAATTATACAGAAAGAAAAAGCAGCTAAAGAGAAATTAAGAACCTGGCACGGATGCAGCGGCAAGACAGAGCCTGGGGCAACGGGAGACTGACAGTCAAATATTGCCACACAGAAGAGTGAGTTGAACCTAGGGCTCTTATACCCTGGCAGGTCCTAAATGTCAGGTTACTGAGTAAAGGAGGAACATCTTTTCTGCTGATATATCCTACCAAAGTTTAACAACTCTCCTCTCTTTCTTCACCCTTGCTTACTGTAAGGTAACAGGTCAGGAGAATGCTTGAAGAATGAGACCTACACATCTGACAAA